CAGTATTACAACATGTTACAGTATTACAACATGTTACAGTATTACAACATGTTACAGTATTACATGTTACAATATTACAACATGTTACATTACAACATGTTACAGTATTACAACATGTTACAGTATTACAACATGTTACAGTATTACAACATGTTACATTACAACATGTTACAGTATTACAACATGTTACAATATTACAACATGTTACAGTATTACAACCTGTCTGTGGGGCTACCTGCTACTGCAAGCAGCTGATCCCAGGACCATGGTACGTTAGCTCCTGCACCTTTAGCAGCCCTGCTCTTTGCAGTTTCACTCTTCCTCCCATCTCCTTCTCATTTACACACAGGGATTCTGGATTTGTTTTTACTGACTAAGTGTTCTTTTCACCAGCTCTCCAGGCTCTCTTCCACCTGCTCACTACATGGTTAGGTTAGGTTAGCTAACACTAACCTAACCCCTTCCACCTGCTCACTACATGATTAGGTTAGGTTAGCTAACACTAACCTAACCTCTTCCATCTGCTCACTACATGGTTAGGAATCCATACTGATATCCTGCATCCCTCATTGCTCTTAAAATTAAAGCCCTATGATTCCCTGAAGAAATACATAGTTTACTCACATTTTAGATTAATGTAATTTTATRATGAAGATGGACAACATCATGAACATTTTTGCCAAATCTAGGAAATAGTGTAAAATCTCTTGGGATGCAGTTAGATCAGGCACTCTAACTGTAAACTGGAGATGAGTATCTGCTGCCACCACAAACTTCAGCTGAAGTTCTGGTCAGTTCGCCTTGTTTAATAAGATTAGCTCTGGTGACCATCTGAAACTGAGTTGATTCCAAAAGTTTATCAGTTGTGAATGTTTAACTAATGATTGTTACCTGTTAGTTCCACTAAGATCAGTCTGACCTGTGATATTTTGCTAACAGTGTTGACTCATTTGTTAATACTAAAGGTTTAAACAGATCGGTTTTACACAGTGTAGTGTCTCAGCTAGTGCCACACAATTTTTAGCTGAATATTAATAAAACAAACAGTTTTTTGTGTTTGTTGTTGCGGTTTTGCTGTGGCAGCCATCTTGAACTGGAATGACYCTAAAAGCTGATCARCTGTTGATTATTTCCTGAGTTTCRTTGAAATCCATCTGCTGCTTTATGAGATTTACTGCAGAAACAAMCAAATGTCTGCATGTGTCATTTATCATTATCAGTGTTATAAGAGGGGAAAATGAACTCTTTCACCTGACAGGAGTCAGTAGCTGTGGTCCGCTCAGTTTTCAACTCACACCAACACTGCATCACTTCTCACAATGAATCCTGTCCCAGAATCCTTTGAGACTAACTGCACGTGAACATGTGACCCAACCTGATCAGCTTAGACTGAGCCCAGCTGTCAGCAGCTGCAGGTAAACTTCCTGCTGTCAGACTTACAGCTGRCATGTGACTGATATTACTGAGCAGGATGTCTGGGAAGACATTCTGCAGATATCAAGTGTCATCCACAGCCAGCTGCTCTTCTTCCTTGAACTGCAGTTCAGTCGAACACATACAGTTAACCTGAGGAGCACATGGCTGAGCTGTGCTAACGCTGCAGTCTCAGGGATTCAGGTTTGGACAGTGCAGACAGGCCATGGGCCCCCGAAAAATATTTATTTGTCCAGCAAAATTGTTCCTCCTCMAAAGTTAGGTAAATTACTTATTTACCTAGCTAGCTGTTTCATCAGTGCACACTATTATGATTCGTTTCCCATCCAAGTCATCTCCACTTTGGCACGCTTCTCTGTCCTACAGCTGCCATTGTAATTTATATCTGTAAAGCTCCTGTGCCAAATGATGGCTATGCCTTTTGGTGCCTGTACAACTTATAGCTTTTGAAATATTAATGTTTAATAAATTATAATGGGAGTCAATGGACCTTGTATTGGTCCAATACTGCCCCCTGCTGTATCTTCTCAGTATGGAACTGCACCATAGTTTAATAATTTTATTTAATCTCAATTATTGCAGTGATTACAATATTGATATATATATATATGTAATTTGATGTATTACTATATTATTGTCTCATAAGCATAAACATCATATAATATTGCTCTACTGTTGTAATATTATGCAGTTCTTTGTCAACGATCGTCATTGGCAATGTTGCCTCTTTCTAGACACAGAAAAAAAAACACTGGGATCCCAGCACCAATGGTCTTGTGGTTAATGAGATCAGGGTTCAAATCCCAGCTACAGTAACTTTAACAAAAAAATTATTCAAACTTCATATTTTCACACAATTACCCTCATTACAAACACCTGCTGCCATCCACAAGCTGGTACTTGATTAGAAAATACATTTGAACTTGGTCAGTTCATTCTGCAAATCCACTGCTGCAGGCAATGACATGCTACATGGCAATGCACACTTGTTTTTTACATTGCAAAAAAACCATGTCTAGTTATTGTTTGAATTTATACTTGATGAAAAAAGGGTCAGATAAGATTTTTTTCTTCTATCTGCTGCCTTTCATTTAATTTTATTTGCATTTTCTTTTTTTATTGTATATAGAATTAATTG